AGCCAGGGCTGGGGGAGAGGTGACGGTGGCCACCTCCAGCCCCTGGTGCAGACGACGTGCCCCTGGCACAGCCACACTTCAGCTGGCAGAGTTTTTCTTCAGGAACTGGACCCTGCTCCAGGGCACAAGCTCAGCACCGCTCATCCGCGCCCTGCGAGCGCCAGCAGGGCATCAGCGCTACGGACACGGCATCAGCAACACTGGCCCCAGGAACCACCCGAGTTCCCTGTCATCGAGCTGATGTGATGCCTCAGTCACCCCAAATGGCCAAGGGGTTCCTGCCTTTCAACCAACAGCTTTTTCCCACTGCTTCACATTAAGCATAAAGAAGAAATAGAACCAAGCTCATCAAAATGCTTTTTCAGAAATAATGCGCATATGTTATAATGATTTTCTGAGGGTGTGTGTACACCAGCTCACTGAGGATCTTTGAAATAAAACCCATGGAGAGTCAGTGCAAGTCAGCATGGGGATTTGGTGGGAAATCGCTTAACTTCTAGTATTGCATGCTCTCAGGCTTGAATTCTTAGAAGGACTTGAACTGCCATAACGAGCAGGGACTTCTCGGGATACAATTTACTGCTCTCACTTTCTGTAGAGCTGGCAGGGGTGATACCTGTGACACACTCCATTCTGTCTATCGCTTTTCTAACTCTGTTCCTACTTCTGTAGTTTTCTCCATAGCCACCCCCTACTTCCGTGGAAGGACTCATGCCATTTACAGTGGGGCAGGAGTTTCCTGCCAGCTCGCGGTGTCAAGATTATGGTCACGTTACGTGGAGCAGCGTCACACGGGAGCACAACACACCACCGACAGTCACCACGCTGTCCCGACTCCACCTGCACTCAGAGTCTCATCCTGGCCTGAGGAGATGGCTTCAGCACCCATCACCTGCTTCTCCTTCCTGGAAAAGTTCAAGGGGTGACTTAATGCACTGAGAGATGGAGCTGTTCTCAAAATGAAACCATCAGAGAACAATCGAGAGAACCAACAGGGAACAATATTGCTGCTGGATCTGGAAAAGATGTAATCCACTTAACGCCTTGAGAGAACATTAGTGGGACTGCCTGGAGCATCTTCTGAAGAAATTTCTGGATCAAATTGAAGATGTGCTTAAATCTTTCTCCATTCTTCTCAAATCTTCTGGATTCCTTCCAGTCATTACCTCCCTCTCCTGCTTCTATAACTTGCTCTGAAAACCGATGTCTCCCTTGCTATGGTCTGCGGTGAGCAGCCTCTCCCCCCGCTTCGCAGCTTATCAGGAAGCCAAGGTCCATTCTCCTCTGCCCTTAGTCAGTCCAGAAAAACAAGCCTGTTCTCTCCTCTCCCTTTAGAGTTAGGAGTGCAAAACACTCCCGTTACAGACGCCTGCCATCACCCAAGCACTAGTGCTGACCAGCCTGGGTGATCTCATGGGTGGATGGTAGAGAACCACAGAAAATTCCCTGGCAAGAGTGTCTGGGCACTGGGAGACGCTCTGATCTCCACGTAGTAGCCACCAGCCCTGGCAGTGCCTAAAGGAAGGGGAAGGGCTTTGGTCATCTTGCAATGGTGTCAACAAATCCAGTATCAGCTTCACAGCTATCGCTGACCTCTTGAGAACATTCTCCTGACGAGGGGACAGGGACGGGAAAGGAAATCTCTGCAGCATCCTGCCATTCTAGATAGCACACATTTGCTGTAAGGAGAGGCACAAGGAGAGCAGTTAGAGGTGGCCAAGCTAATTAACAGCCACCTGCTCACACCCCAGGCTGCTATTCCTTGCTCCAGAGACTTAAAAGCCTTATCTCTGACAGCCTTCTACAAACAGAAGTCCCCACTTTATTGACGTCCTTATCTCAATACACAAGATAAGAGAAGCTGAGGCAGAGCTAAAAACCACAGGAGGACTCACCAGGAGAACCAGAGTTGGAAAAGAGGCCATTAGTTCCTCTTCTCCCCTAACACTGAATTATTGCAAATATTCAGAGTTCTTGCATTCTAGGTGGTCAGTCACACTGTGCCTTGTCACAAGCGGGCAAGTCACATTGCACCCCTCCTTGGCAGGACCTTTCAGAGTCCTCTTCTCCTCTCCGTTTGTAAGAAGCCTGAGACAAATAAACAGTAACGATAATATATATAAAAAAAAAAAAAGACAAAGTTTTTAAAGAAAGCACCTAGGATTCCTGCTCTGAGTTTTCCTATTTTAATCGCTCTCCTTGTAATATAAATCTGCCATAAAGTTCAGTAGTCCATAGAAAACTTCAGCAAAATCAGAAAACTCAGGACCTACAATTTCTACATCTGTATACACAGAGGCACCAAAAACTCACTGGCAAAAAAAATACCTGGTCAGAAGGAAAAAAACAAAATGAAATCTTTCTTGGACCTTCTTCAACCTAACACCAAGAATCAATGAAGAAACACAATCCAGTTTGGTTTCCCCCGGTGCTGGTCGCCTCTAACAGAAAAGTCACTCCCTGTACAACACCTGCCCCGTCTGCGGTTTTCATAAGCCGCACGTAGAGCGTCAGTGACCTCAGCAGTTGCACGCTGTGACAATAAATAAAGTCAGAAGCCTGCCCAAAACACCTCCGAGCCCTTTGGCCAACGTTGGCCGGGAACACACGTGTGGCAACAACCAAGCGAGGGAGAAAACACAAGGCTTGGGGCTCCGGAGCAAGCTCCGTCGGATGGCCTCTGCTTGGAAACGCGGGCGTAGGTGCCGTTCCCAATCAATAAATAAGAAGACACAGAGGCTGCTCTTCCCAGCCCCGCGGGTTGGTCTGTTGGCCTGCGACACAACTGGGGCAGCCGCGGCTCTGGAGCTCCCGCAGGTGCCACCGGTCCTGGCTGAGAACAACAACCACCTGCTCCGGTCTGTAATGCCCTTCGTAGGTGATGACGGGAAACAAAAAGGACTAAATTCGAAGCAGGTTTTCAACTCGGAGGGGGATCCAAAAGTGCTGACTGAGGAGGAGAACAAAGCCAGAGGGCAGATGCTGGTACCAGTAGGGACTGCGTAAGGCAATAGGAAGCGAGCAGAGGAAAAGCCCCGGGTTGGTCCCATGGCTCCTCTCTTGCCAAATGAACATACCGAGGTGACCATGAAACAATCAGTTTATGGGTTTCATGCTCCTCCACCCCCAGACTGAACTTAAATATTTGTATAAGCCCAGGCGTAACTTTTATCTAATGTTTTCCTTGGGGTTTACTAGCTGTTTAGAGCATTCGGGCTGAAAAGCATTCTCTCAAACTCTTGCCACAAAAAGAGCTGAAACTATGATACTAATTAAAACCACACTCTTTGGTATCAAGAAGACATGCTATTATTTTCTCTTTTTGCTCATGAGAAGCTGTTAATATGGGCAACGCGTCTGGAACATTTTCCTTCCAAACGCCACGCTCCGTACCCCCTCCTGCTCAGGTCGGCTGCTTTATGAACTTGTCAGCAGTCTGGGGTGGGAAGGCTCATATTTACAAGAATAGATTTTTTTTTTTTTTTAGTAACAAACCGTTTGCCAACTTAACATTATGAAAAACACATCAAGGAAAAAAAAAAGAGGGGAAAAAAAAAAAAGCTCGATGCTGCATGAAAGGTAACAAGCTAAGGAACAGTCCTGCTTTGGTGCCCAATGGGCCAAATCCAGGGATGAATCTTGCCAAAACATACTATAAGTTTTGAAAATCAGCCTCTGACTTTGCCAGGATGCTCCTGGACACTCAGCACAGACCAGGAAAGGACGTGGGTTGCACCGTACCACCACTGACCCACCCTGGGGTAAGGTCTAGTAAAGGAAAAGGTAAGATTTCATGCTCGTTTTACCCCTTCCAATTTGGATGCTTCTAAGGTCTTCGTTACTGTGGCATCAACACCTCATAAACATGAACAAAATTATCCTTCTAACATTTCAGGCAAAAATGCTATTATCACATTTAAAGGTCGGAAAATTAAGGAAAAAAAATTTAAAAAAAAAAAAAAAAAGGCCAGGGTAGCCAAGGGTTCGGCCTTCGTCTCGACGGAAGCATCCGCGCTGCTCGCGGGGAAAACAAAAGCGGCAGGAAGGATGCTCCGGGGAAGGCACTCGTCCCGCGAGTCTCACTCTCGGGACCACAGAAGTAAATAATGTTTCATCAGAGCGATTTGGTTTCTGGTTTCTGTTTGGGAGCGTGGCTTTCGCTGCGTTGACTCAAAACAAAACTCCGCTTCCCTTTTTCACAGCCACAAAGATGCCAGATTTTAATTCCCGGTGGTGCAAAGTGCAGGCAGTGGAGGAGGGGCCCTTTGAGGGCTGAGATTTTTTATTTTATATTTATTTCTTGGTGATATTTTAGCTTTGAGCAAGCTCCTGCCTGGTTAGCAAGCTTCTAGGCTCGCCAACAATACAGAAGAACTGCCTAAGTTACAAAAACAAGTTAAATCATAAAAAATATGACTTCAGCAAAGAAGTTAAGCTAGACGGGTGAACGCGCCATAATTTGTTACATGCTTCCACAGCGCAAGGATCCAAAGTAATAAAATATTCCTGTAATGCTAGAACCATGAGGCCCAGCCCCAGTACGACGTTGGGATTCCAGTATTAGCTCTGCCACGTCACCCCCCCAGCTCACCACCGAAAGGAGCCTTCTGTCGCCCACCTCCCCAGCACCCACCTCCTTGGCACCGCGCTCCGTTCGCCCTTTCTTTTGGATTTCACTCCAAAGAAAGACCAAGTCACGAAGTTATCGCGAAGGTGGCCACGACAAGATGACATCTCACACCAATTTAACGCAACTGTCGAGGGCAAACCCATCCGCCTCCAAAGCATCATCCAAGAATCCCAAGGCTGGTTGCGGAGTTCAATTTTATGTACGCCACGGAGGGCTCGGAAAGGCACGGGCTGCTGCGCAAACCCTGCATCCCTTCCGTCCTGCTTTTCATTGGAGGGTGACAGGTGAAGCTCGAACACATCAGTACAGCCTTGAGGAGGCTGCTGAAGGTAACACTCACGTCACAAACGAATTAAGAGGAACCACTTACCTTGCCCACTAGCTTGCCTTTCCTGTTCATGCAAAGGTAGAAGTCTGTCTCCTTCCCTTTGATCCGGACTTGACTGCCAAAAGTGTCTGTTTCCACTAGAAGCTGGGCTTGTAAAGGAAGAAGAAATAAAAAAAAAGCATTTACCAATATGGTCCCATTAAGTCAGAGCAAGTAAAGCTCATCAGCGTGTTGTCCCACTACCTCTGCCTGAACCCCGCCAGGCTGGGATGCTCTGCAAGGGAACAACCCAAGGAACCACCCAGGGCCTTGGTCATAGGTGCAGATCTGACATGTCTCCACCATGTCTATCAAATCTATGTGGATGCTCCAGATTTAATGTGTTTAGCACAAAATACACATATGCATTTGTGTGCTCCATCAGCCCACACCAACCCCACCACCAGTACGAAGCCAGATGCTCTCCTTCACGCTGCAAGAGGGTTTGCAGAGGGCAAGAACATGGATTTTAGCCTCATGAAAATAAGAGATAAGCATGATGAGAATGAAAACCCTTTCCCCACAGCCAGTAGTCCTCAAATCTCTCACAGCAACAGTCTGGCCATGTGCTTGAGGTGCAAAACATCACAGCGATCTCCCAAAGATCACCACAACAGCTAGCAGGGAAGAAATCCAGTGCCGCTCGTCCTCTCTGACGAACGCCCACCCTGCAGATGTCCTCTGCGTGCCTGGCTATGATCCCAGGTCACCAATCACTTTCTGGCAGTCCGGCTCCGTGAATCCCGCTCTAGCTGGGAGAAACATGGCCAATCTGATCGTGCCTCACACATTTATCAAGGCCAGAGCTGGGTTGCAGCACTGCCAGCAGCTGTGGCAGAGGACAGATTTCTGCTGCATCTTCATAAACCACCTGCTCCGACCCAACTGTATTTGTAGAAGTGGCTGAGCTGTCAGTCAGACGTGTAGCGTGCCACCATCATCTCAAAAACCTACACACGTCCAAGTTCAGCTTTTTATTCCGTCTCTGATGTAAACACGAATTCCAGTCATGCTCGAGGTTCGGATTCCAGGAATTTCCCTGGAGAGGCAGGAACAGGCAGACTGGACATTCTGGTTGAGATCCATCTCCGATACGGAGGGGGAGAAAGGAGACATGGTCGAAACACAATGCAAGAATGTGTAAGTGTCAGCAAGTGCAAATCCACGGTCCTGCTCTGGAAATACTCACGCTTGTAAGAGCTGAGCCTTACCGTAGAAACACGGCTTTTCCCAAACTCTGGAGAATGTTTGATCTGTGCTGCAAAAAGTCACATTCTTTTTGGCATTCACATTTCAAACTTTAAAACCCTCTAAGAGCAAATATGTTCGCTGTAAGGATTTACCATGGGGATAGAAATAGGAGTTTGTTTCATTTAAACACGTTAATATTTTTCCCGCTTGTAAAGTCAGCTTTTGGCTTCTGCAGCAGTGCAAATATCACAAACCTTTAACTCACAAGGGCCCTAAACGGAGTTTTCCCTTCGCGGCTCAGTCACATACACAAGTTCAGGGTTTTCCAGTTACTAGCTGTTTACATTTCTTTAGATTTATTTGTTAAACCTGTTATCACAGGGGATATTTAAAGAATAACTTCTTTCTGACAGCAAGTGGGATAATGCTTGTATTATAGCAGAATATTACTTGCAATCGCGCGTTAATATGGATGTTTATCGAAGTCTTTCAGAAACGCACTGCGTTTTTGGGGATCTGTGATGGAGATCACTTGCCAGCGACAGCCAGGTGCTGAGGGCTTTCCCTCTAACCCGCCGAGGTGGTATTGGAGCAGTGACCACCCACGCGCCTCAGTGGGGAACGGCCACAAGAACCAGAAATATCCCATCGTAGAAATGATATAGGATGAGTAAAGCCAGGACGGGGAAGGATGGCACAGGGTCAAAGACGGGTCTTCACGGGACAGATGAGCAACACGGTATATAACTTGGCGAATGCCCACTGCTTCAATAAGTTCAGGGGGGCTGCTCAGATGCAACGCAGCGTTAACGAACCAGGGAACAGCCAGAGGTAGGACTGCCTTTAAAAGAGGTCACTGTGAAAGGTCTTCTCCTCACAGGAACAAAGGCATTAGAGAGGACTGATGGCCAACCTCAGATGGGGAGAGCAGCACACGAGGGAAGGTTATGGAGCCAGCACAAGAGGTCTCGAGGACTGGCCCAAGAGCCATGGCCAACAGCCAGAGCACCAAGGGGTTGCCCACAGATCCACAGTGTCAAAGCCACCAAGGCATGCAAACGGACCTGGGGCCACCCACCGAAGGGGTCAAGCGAGGGCTCCACAGTCTCAGCGGCTCAGAGTAACACTGAGTATCAGATATGGGTTTTGGCCAGCCAACGTAGTTGATAAAGCACCCCAAAGCAAGAGCCTTGATCCCAGTCCTGCCAGACAGTCGGTGATCCGCACCCCTCTGATGCAGGTCCTGCCCGGCAGTCCGTGCTCAGATGGACCAACACGGGGCACTTCGGCTCGCATTCCCCACCCCCTCGCTCTCCTGCCAGTATGAGTAATATCCAAGCTGATTTTAATTTGAAAAATATCACCTTAAAAAGATGCCGGTTCCCTGCTGTGAAAATTAAAACCATCTGGATGGAGTGATTTCAAATAATTAATCCAGGTCTCCTTGGACACCACTACTAATTAAAATATGATACCTTCCTCCTCCTTTTTAAATAAAGAATTTAAATAAAGTTTAAAGATCTAATAAAATAATGTCATAATTTAGAACTAAATGGAAGTCACCTTTCCTGTGGGCTGCAAAGGTTACGTCGGCACTGAGAACCCTCCCGGGCTAGTGCACAGCACGGAGCCAACAGCAGCAGATGGGCAAGCACCCACTGTGACACCCACACCAGCAAATGCACCGGCATACGTACCTCAGCACCCCAAGGACACCTGTGAGCCCCAGAGATT